GAGTACCAGTTGTTTTAGGGGACAGCTGCTGAGAATGCTTGCAAGGAGCTGCAGTTGTACTTTGCTCCTATCAAGCACAACTTCTGATAAGTGTATATAGTCATCCATCCCATAGGAACACAGCAAAGAGTTTTCCCGGCCACTCAGAAGCCTCGCAGACAGCGTAGAGAGTGCCAGTACAGCCCCATAGTGTATGAATTTCTCTATTCGGGCAAAGCTATGCTGAGAAAGCACTCTTATTATACCACTCTGGTGCCCAGAGAATATCAGTCCTTCCATCCCTCGCCCCAGGTGGAAATGCCCGTAAGCCAGGCAGTGTACAAAGTCCTGAGGATTTGGTGAGGTGCATAAAAGATATTTGGCTGGGCAAGGACAGCGGGTTGTGTCAAACACCAGCACGTCTGTGCTGCCCGTTGCCACAAAGAGCTCCTCTTTACGCGGGTCATAGGCCCAATCCACAGCCTCGTCCAGGATGGAGAGGGGCCAGGTGAAAAGCAGAAGATCCCCTGTTAATGGGGACACAAAGCGCAACAGGCCATCTTCTGTAATGCACAGGATCCTGTACCAGTTATCGCCACAGCAGACCCGATGTACCTGCTGGGGAGCAGACCCACAGACGTGGAAGAGATTATAGAAGCAGGGTAGACGGTACAAGGAAAACGTATGGGTACTTTGGCAGAAGAAGGTAGTGTCATCAATAAACTGGAGGCGGTACAGCTCCTCACCAAGTTCTAGTTGCCGAAGCAGGGTCCCTGAAGTAAGGTTCCACTCCTTCATCAAGCCTTCGTGGCCGGCTGTTAGCAGGGTGTTGGCCTCGGACCGGCTGCGGATACAAACCACAGATGAGGAGTGCGCCTTGAAATTGTGGAGGGCGTGGCTGTGACTGAGGTTCCATACTTGGATTTCCCCAGCCTTGTTTCCAGCATAGAGAAAACCCTTATCCAAGGAGGTGAAGCAGCAGGTGATAGAGGAGCCACTCCTGGTGGACATGAACTTCTTCACCTCTCCCAGCCTGCCCTGGCCCTGGCGCGCAAGGGCTCTCACCACAGTCTCACACAGGGCTAGGAGGGAGCCGTTGGGGCCATTCAGCACGATGTCCTGGACAAGCTCATCACCAGGCATGGAAATCGTGTGAGCCATCTGCAGGCCCTTGCCACTTTGATCAATGACCCAGCTGACCACTGACCCCCGGGTGCCAGACAGAAGCATCTTCATTTCTGGGTCATAGCAGAGACAGTTGATGTTGAAGCGGCAGGGCACAGTGGCTAGGGGTTTGAACGCCCGAAAGTGGTCCCCGAAGAGGCGCAGGATCATGTCACCACAGTAGGCCACGAGGATATGGAAGGAACCTGTGTGCGCCATTGACTGGATGGGTGGCAGTCGCTCGGTCATGGAGAAAGCTCTCTTCTCAACCATGTCCTCAGATTTGCTCTTTGTCCACACTATAGCCTGGAAGAGAATACGATAGAAACTGCTAGAAAAGATAGTAGAGGAGAAAAGGGCCAAATATTCAGCTACTTTTCCCTGTTCTTTTTTTTTTAAGGAGGAAACAGAAGACTCTAGAGTGGTTTTGCCTCCTAGTGATGGGACTTGGAACTAGGTGGAAGTAGACTTTTTTAACCTCAGTCTACTTTAGGGGAACTCAAGTGTACTCAACGTGGAGACAGTAATTGGGGAAAGTAGTGGGAGGGCATCAGGATCCCTTTAAGGGATCCTTTGCCAGTTTGGTTTGAGAGCTCTATGGGTTTGGCCCATGAAAAGTGGGCTAAGAAGGAAAAGAAAGAGAGAAAAAGGAAGGAAGGAAGGATGGGAAAGAAAGAAAGAGAAAGAGAGAAAGAAAGGGAAAGAAAGAAAGAAAAGAAAGGAAGAGAAAGAAAGAAAGAAAGAAAGAAAGAAAGAAAGAAAGAAAGAAAGAAAGAAAGAAAAAGAAAGAAAGGTTTACCTGCATTTCTTTTGTGTGGGGTGTCACCCAGGAGAGGGAGGCAAAGAAGTCGGCATCACAGAAGTAATGGCATATAAGTGGCATATTTTGAGGATGTCGAGATTCTTTGAATAGTGTCTGGGACCGGTCACTTAGCACAACTGTTTCACTCTTTGAGTCATCTAAAGATTCCTGGAGAGAGACATAGCATAAACTAAGAGGCCAGGGCACACATGCACTAAATATATTCTCACAAAATTCATGATTGAAGCAGTTCCCCAAATCACACCTCCCACACCTCCTAACTCTTATTACACCCACACATGCACAGCTTACCACCAATGGGATCTCTGCACTTGTGACAAATCTCCCTCCCAACACGTGCGTGAACCAGAACCCTGAGACCATGTATGGACAGTTTTATAGTGGGGGTACAGGGAAAAATGATGTTCTTCCCAAAATGACATTCAGCACATCTGTCTTCTAACATTCTCCCTTGTGACTAAAAGGTACTAAGTATATCACCCTAATAGGATCTCCCAAAAGTCAATACAGCCTTAAGTTATCAAAGCTTAAAACCGCACAAGTAAGACATTAGGACATTGTCTAGTCATTAAGTTTGACAGGAACAGCACATACACAATATGTATTACCCATAGTGCTAGAAGGTGTGCTATGAAACATGTACCCGGGATCCATTTGCACAGAGCCATCCACAGCAAAACTGAGGTTGGCCAATACTCCCTCTGCTGCCTTCTCCCTTCTGTGTTAGGACCCCTCTCTTTCCAGAGCATTGGTTCCTCTGACAATGCTTCAATGTGTTTGTCTGCTATAAAGTACCTTTGTAAGAGGCCTATAGCCCTTACAAGAACCTTTGGAAATGGGTGAACCCTTTGGAAATGGGTGATCCACTTTCTACTAAAGCGACAACTGTCTTGATGGTTTGTCCTGCACATTTCTTGCATTCATGGACAATCTATGGGTGTTCCAAAGTGCTCACTATTATAAGATAGAGGCCAACCAATGGCATATTTATACATTACCTTGCTTTTTTGTATGATGTCATTTATGAGGTAGCTAAAATCCTTCCAGGTGGGGATGAGTCTGGGGGAAGACATCACCTTGATTTTCCTCAGGTCCTCAGGGCCATTCCTTAAATACCTGTGGGAATCCAAAAGGAGACTGCTTAACTACTGTTATTTTTTGAGGAGCTAGAAATCAGAAGGCAAGAACCATGAGCTCACATATATTGAACACCTTGTTTATGTCAGGAATTACACGATAGACCTTCTCATTTAATCCTCACTATGGCCCTGTGACGTAAGTATTGCCCTGCTTTACAGATGAGAAAACTGAAGCTTGGAGAGGGTAAATGAAGGACCGGGGAGGGAAACAGAAACTTAGAGAGGGGCTTAGAGAGGCTGACAGGCAAACAGCATTTTGGGAGGACTAGCAGGTTTTCAGCGTGTGGTCCCTGCACCTCCTACACCAAGATCATTGGGGGAGGGGATACATCTTCAAGTGCCAAGTCCTGGGCCTTGTCCTAGACCTACGTGGAGGTGGGACCCAGAAATTGTAACTTTTAACAAACTGCTTAGGGCCTGGGGGATTCTGTTGACATCCAAATCTGATCGCTGAAATAGGAAGTACATAGCGAAACAGAGCATCTGGGATTACTTGCCCCTGGCACAGCTGGAGGAAGGATCCAGACTGTGGTTGTTACGTTTTGTTGTTTTGTTTTGTTTGTTGTGTTGTGTTGTGTTTTAAGGCAGGATCTTACCATGTAGGTTCAGGCTAGCCTCGAACTCATTATGTTGTCCAGGCTGACCTCAAACTCATGGTACTCCTCCTCAGTTTCATGCCTCAGCCTCAGTTTCATGCTGGGATTACAGACATGCACTACCATACCTGGCCCAGCCTGTGGTCTTAAAGACTTCCCCAGGCTTGTGGGATCAGGTGGCTTTCTTATAGAAGACGTTCTGCCACTTGTTGTCTGCTTCCTCATCCCGTTCTTTTGGTCATCACAAGGAGATAATTCTTTTCCTGGTTGGATTATAAATAAATCTTATAACAATCCCCTTCCATCAAGTGTCTGCCATGAGTAGTGCCACAGTGGGCTTGTTTTTCCTCATTTGTAAAATGAAAATGCCAGGCTTCCCTGTGCCATTGGATTGTTCAAAGATCAAATAGGATAATTCATGTGGAAACCCTTTTAGGATTCTCTGAAACAGCAGTGATGATTACTGCTTTTAGGCTAGCCTAGTTCTCAGGCTGGTGAACACTATTTCCAGTCCTTTCCAATGTTTTACTTTTTGGTTACTTTGGAAACATGACAGCTAAGTTTATTGTCTGGCCAGCAGAGGGCAACAGAGGCCAACTCTGCCTATAGATATTCCCAGTGTGTGGTTTCCTGGGTTGGCAGCATCAGCATCACCTGAGAACTTGTTAGAAATGCAGATTATTGTCCAAACCCATAAGCTTTTGAATTGGAAACTGAGGACAGGACCCAACAATCTTTTTTTCCGGTACTGCGCATTGAACCCAAGGCCCTTGTACTGAGTTACACACACACACACACACACACACACACACACACACACAATCCCTTTTGAGACTGGGTCTCATTAAGTTGCTAAAGTTGCCCATGCTGTTCCTGAACTTGGGATCCTTCTCTTTCAGCTTCCCAAGGTGCAGAGATTTCAGGTGTGTGCCACCACACCCAGTTAAATAATCTGGGCTTCACCTAGCTCTTTAGCTGACCTTATACACACTTCAGTGTAAGGCTGCCGGTGCAGAGAGGCATTGGAGCCCCCAGTCAGTGTGGCCTGAGTCTCCTAAAGCAAGGTCGGCAGAACCCACCCCCTGGTGTAGCTGAGCCCCAGAGACTTGCTGTCTAGATCTGGAGGGAAGCAGCAGGTAAAACTTATCTGGCCTTGTAGAGTGGGTTAGAGCCCACAGAAAAGCTTCCACATTAATCGCTTCATTAGTTCTTGAAAGAACCCTAAGAGGCAGATGTTGTCTTCCTTCTGCCAGCAACGTGAAGTCTGAGAAGAAAAAGCGGTGTTTTGGAGGCTACAGGGGCAGATTCAAGACTAAGAGCCAATCCATAGGTCTGGGTTCTATGTCAGAGGAGGAAGAGGTTCTGCTAGTGCTAGCTAAGGAAGCGCTCTGATCCCCAAATCCACTAGCAGTGAGAACTGGGGACTGGTGTCTGACATCAGCACCCAGTCTCCTTCCATACCCAGGCTGTGCACTGTGCTCCTGCGTTATCTTTTTCATTTTGTTCCCCTTTGATCCTGCACTTGCTGCTCATTTGGTTTTGGTTTTTGGTTTTTTTCTGGTACGGGGAATCAAACTTACGACCTTGTGCTTGCCAGGCGGTCGCTGTGCCGCTAAGCTAAATCCCCAGCCTTGCTTGCTGCTCATTTGGACCACCTTTCAGAGGCCGGTGGGATCTGCTTCAGATCACGCACATCAGTGGGTGGCTATGCAGGCTAGCCCCACAGCTTGGGTTCGCGCCACTGGCTCCTTCTTAGGCTCCAGAGCTGCTGAGTCATCATTTGTAGCAAATTTATAGTCACTGCAAACAGTTCCTATTGTTTTCAGTGTCCATTCACCAGTTAATGGGCATTTTGGCTGTTTCCATGATTTGGCTATTACAAACTGTGCCTCTATAAACATGGGTGTGTGTATATCACTGTGATATGATGCTTTTAATTCTTTCGAGAAGGTACCAAGAAGGAGAACAGCTGTGTCGAATGGAACCTCTAGTCATAGTTTTTTGAGAAATCGTCACACTGATTCCCCCAGTAGTTGTGGTAGTCTACACTGGGTCCCACTTCTCTTGACCAGCCTACAAAAACAAAAAGCATGTGGTTGAGACCTTTGGGGGAACATTTCGAGGGGACGAGTAAGGAGGGCCTTCATGCCCCAACCTTCTATAAGTTTGTTTTTGTTACTGTCTCCCCCACCTTGCAGACCAGTTTCCTCCTAGGAAGCGTCTCTCCCAATGTCCTCCACATTCCACTACCTGATCCTACTACCTGTCTAAACTTTAAAAGCAAATTTAGAGTGAACTCCAGATGCCTTAATCTCAATGGCTTTGACTGCTTAATGTGTCAGTAATTCAAAAGTAAAGCAAAGGGAGAATTCAAGTGGTCAATTTAGGGGAAGAAAGTGGTCAATTTAGGGGAAGAACTGTTGGTGGGAGTGTAGACTTGTGCAACCACTGTGGAAATCAGTGTGGAGATTCCTCAAAAAACTAGGACTAGAGGTTCGAGTTGAACCTCTATTTGACCCAGCTATTCTTCTTGGTATCTTCCTGAAAGAATTAAAAGCATCATACCACAGCAATATATGCACACCCATGTTTATAGAGGCACAGTTTGTAATAGCCAAATCATGAAAATAGCCCAAATGCCCATCAACTGGTGAATGGATAAAGAAGATGTGTTTTTTATACAAAGGAGTACTACTCTGCCAGAAAGAAGGATAAGCTCAAGACATTTCTAGGTAAATGGATGCACTTTGAGACTATGCTCTTAAGTGAAATAAGTTGGACACTTATTTCAACTTAAGTAAATACTGCATTGTTTCTCTGGTATGAAAAACTGAAAGTGGAAATAAGGACCAAAATGTATAACAGGTATTGTGAAAGAAAAGGAAGAAAATGTTCATATGGGGAGGGGGAGAAGGGGAAAGGAAAGAAGGGAAAAGAAAAAAAGAAAGACAAAAAGGAAAAATGGAAACAGGAGAGGGATAGAAGGGAGGGTAGGAGAATGGGAAAAAAGAAGAAGCAAGATATATCATGTACAGATACAAATTCTCTATTGTGAACATGATCATTATTTATATCTAAAATGTACCGATAAAATCTGATTGAAAAAAAAATTTAGGGGAAGATACAGTGTGAAGAAAAGCAGATGTCCCACCCTGCCTTGAAACCGAGTTGGCTTTAGGGGGCGCTGCGCTCCACTACTGTTGAGCCCCTGGGCTCCCTCTGGGTCCCTCACTGTGCCGTTGTCTAGGCAATGAGAGAAGGCAGACAGGGTTCTTGCTTTATATCAGGGAAAGCAGACATCAGAGGAGTCATAAAATTGACAGCTATGGGAAATTCTCAGTGATGGGTTATTAGCCTTTGAACTTTTCTCCAACTTTAATTTTCTTAAAACAAATTACCCTAGTGAGTGGCTGGGGATATAGCTCAGTGGCGTAAGCGCCTGCCTGGCAAGCGCAAGGTTGTGAGTTCAATCCCTGGCACTGAAAAAAAAAAAAAAAAAAAGTTTCAAATTACCCTAGTGATTCAGGTGTGTGTGTATGGGTGTGTTGTTTTGTTCCAATACTGGGGAGTGAATCTGGGGCCTTCAAACTGAGCTACATCTCAGCTTTTTATTTTTTATTTTGAGACCCGTCTTACTAAGGTGTTAAATTGCCCAGGCTGGTCTCAACTTGGAATCCTTCTGCCTGAGTATCCCAGAGTGTTGGGATTACAGGTGTACACCACTATGCCAGGCTTTTTAATTTTTTTATTTTAATTTTTTTTTGAGACAATGTTTCACTGAGTTGCCTGAGCTGGCCTTGAATTTGTGAGGTCAGATGATCTTCCCACCTTAGCCTTCTGCTTAGCTGGGACTATAGGTGTGCACCACCATGTCCAGCTTTAGAGATTAAGTTGTAAGAAGGAAAGGTACAAAGTACTATAAGTACATACAGTGAGACTTGAGTATCCCAAAGGGTCATGTGTGCCCTGTACTTTGAGGGGGGGCTCTGCATAGAGTATATAGCTTCACAGGTCGGTCTCCCATTTGGGAATGGGGGTGCAGAAAGCCCAGCCATTATCAGAAGGATCTGATGAATTGACTGCAGAGCCAGGGGCATTGGTCGTGGTGGTGCACCACTTAAGACAGAGGCTGAGAAGGAGGATTGAAAGTTGAGTCCAGCCCAGTCAATTTAGCAACTTAGGAAGATCCTGTCTCAAAATAAAAATAAAAAATGGGCTGGTGTAGCTCAGAGCAAAGGTCTTCAGTTCAATCCGCAGTACCATGCAAAAAACAAACAAAAAACTAGGCAGAGAGGCAACCTTGGCTTACTTGGTTCTTTGAATGACATTATGGATGAGAACCCCAAGTTTGTCTCTGGGGTCTAAGAGAGATACTCTGGTCTTTAATTTAGGGCTGGAGTGCCCTTACCATCCTTTATGGAAAGAAACAATTTTTCTAAGCTGAGAAATACACATTATCAAGGTAGTCTAGTTTCTTTGGGGTTGAGGAATTACTCAGGAGCCCTGGGAGCTATGATAGCGTCCAGGACTGACAAGGCTGTACAACAGTAACTAGGCAGTAGATATATATATATATATAATTTATTTGGTACCAGGAATCAAACTTGGGACCTTGTGCTTGCCAGGCAGGCACTGTGTCACTGAGCTATATCACCAGCCCATTTTACATATATTTTTATCTAATAATTATGATGATTCTGTGATTTAGCTTACCACCCCTTAAAAGAACTTTTTAAAATGGACATGGTCAAAACATACTGAGTGGCATTTAAGGAAAAGAAAGTCACTCTTTCACCTTACTGTCTCTCCTTTTTCCCCTTTTCAGAGGTGACACTGGTTGTGTCTTTCCTGTATGTTTCTAAAGGTGGTCTATACATATGCAAGCATGTATGTAAATGACAGCTTTTTCCTTATTATTATTATTATTTGTTGTTATTTGAGGCAGGGTCTCATTACGTAGTCTAAGATGAACTTGAACTCGCTGTGTAGCCCAGACTGACCTCAAACTTGTGGTTATCCTCCTGCCTCAGCCTCTGGAGTGCTGGGATTACAGGTGTGCTTCACCACACCTGGCTTCCTATTTATTTATTTATTTGTTTGTTTATTTATTGATTGTGGTACTGGGGATTGAACCCAGGGGTACCCTACCACTGAAATACATCCTCAGCCCTTTTTTTCTTTTTTTTTGTGCCGTGAGTCAAACTCCCGACCTTGTGCTTGCCAGGCAGGTGCTGTGCTGCTGAGGTATATCCCTGGTGGTCCCCAGCCCTTTTTAAAAAAATGTTGAGACAAGGTCTCACTAAGTTGTCCAGGTGGGACTTGAACTTGCAATTTTCCTGCATCAACCTCCCAAAGTGCTGAGATTAAGATGTGAGCTACCATAACTGGCTACATTTTCTTTCTATATGTTAATACCTATAGGTCTGCTTTATTTTCTAGCAGTTAACAGCTTTGGTATATTCTACTGTGTGGCTAAAGTATTATTTATCCAAATTTCAGGACATTGGGCAGCTTTTGACCTTTTACTACTATGACTCATGCTACAGGTAAATCTTTGTGGGTGCCTCATAGAGTTGTACTTTTATTTAATTTTAATTAACTTAAATTGTAAAATTAAGCAACAAAAATATATTTCCATTCAGTATAACTTGGAATAGCATTTTGGATATTTTGGGGGTTAAATAATTAAAATGAATTTCACTGTTTTATGTAAATTTAAAATTGCACATGCAGCTTGCATTATATTTCTGTTAGTACTGCTTGAGATTGTCACTGACGGTGGCCTGATTTCCCTCTTGGACAAGAGCCTCCTGAGGGTAGCTCTTCACAGCCTCCATCTGTCTGGGTTGCTCCCGTGTCCCCTGTAATCACTCAACCTGACATGGAACAGGTGCTTAAGACATTTCTGTTGAATGAGCAGGCAAACGAATGACCCTCTGCACTCTCCCAGAAGAAGAAATAGATGCTTCCCAGCTTCAAGCTATACTGAGCATCTTACTCCCAGCAGGCTGAATCAGGAAGGTACTGAGAGGGCTTCTTGAAAAGAGGGCTGTGCAATTCCAGTCAATTCCCTCAATAACCCTTATAGAGTAGGAGTGGCACTATCATTTAAAAAGAAAGATTCCGATGGGACACATGTGTGTGGCCTCCTTACGCCAGCTGTTGTGATGTTAATTAGAATAAAATGATGTTAAAAAAAAAAAAAAAAGGTTCCGACTCTGATTATGCCAGGAAGTGAGCTAAATTTGGACAATATTTCCGAGGCTGTGGATATTCCAACACTACTTTCACAATGTGCCACCAGAGAATGAATGAAAGACGAAGCCTTCGGGGCAGCCCCAGGATCGTGGGCCCGAGGCTGCCGGCGCAGGCAGAGCTCTGGAGCCGCCAAAGCAGGGAAGAGATGACCACATAGACTCAGGTACCCGCGTGGGCAAGAAGCAGCTGTGTCCGCCTCGTTAAAGCAAGGGCCATGCCTGTTACCTGCGGCAGAGCTCCCAACAAGGGGCGGTACGGGGTGTTTGGCGACCCCCAGGAACTCGTAGGTGGGCGAACAGACCAAGAGAGCGTCCGAGAAGCTACCTCGCGGATGCTGCGCAAGGAGGCGGCCGACAGAGCGGACAGCTCCGCAACCCAGCGCCCAGCAGACTAACTGTAGCGACGGGAATGAGCGCGCGTGCGTACTGGCACGCGCCCGCCGCGAGAACCCGCTCAAGTCCGTGCACGCGTTCGAAAGGTTAAAAAAAAAAAAAAAAAGTCCCGTGGGGGCCCGCGACAATTTGGGCCCCAAGTCCGGCCGACGTGCGCGCGTGCGCATCAACGCCCTCCTCCACTGCCCTCTCTGAGGTGGGGTGTAGCGCAATGCTTCGCTTCTCTCATCCCTCCCGAGGCGCGAGCCCCCGAGGTAAGTGACTGGTGCCTTGTGGAAAACAGACGGCCCGCCGAGTGAAGGGAGGAGGCTTGTGGAGCTGGAAGAAAGGAGAAACCGCCCCAGCAGGTTGAAGAGCGTGGCTCGCGGGTTGGAATCCGCACAAAACACGCCTCTTCACACATCCCTGGGGGCTGCGGAAGTGCTCTGGAGACTGGGGCTGCACGGAGCCAACCAGTGAACTACCATTCCCAGAGGGTAGCGCGGTGATGCGCCTACGGCTCCCGGCAGGCCCCGCGCTCCAGGCTCGCTTCAGCTTGCAGCCTGTTTAGACGAAACTACAGTTCCCAGGAGGCCTCGCGCGAAGCGGCTTGGAAGTGGGCAGCCTGGAAGTCACTCGGGCCACTGGAGCTGGCGGCGTCTCCAGCGATCGGCGCGGGGCCGAGCGCTGCGGTCCAGGGGCCCGCGGGGCGGGCGGCCAGGACGCCCAGGTATGTGGCTTCAGGTGCAGGAGCGGCCTCGCGCAAGGGTGGCGAGAAATCTGTAGCTACTTGGACCCCGAGGGTCAGCGCGGGCGGGCGACCGGGCGGACGGCCGGGTGTGGGCACCGGCTGTGGGGGGCGGCGGCGCCGAGACTCACGCCCTCCGGACCCGGCGGGACGCGTGCCCGCATGGCTCAACTTTTCAGACGTGCAACCCAGCGCGGGTGGGGAACAGCTTGGAGTCTGGGAGCGGCGGGTGCACGTCCCGGCTCTGCCGTTCGAGAGCTGCGGTCTAGGGAAATCGCGCCGAACCACAATTTTCCCTTCGGTAAAACGGGGAGGGAGAATATCTTTTGCTGGGAATTCTGTGGAGATGTTGAGATCCAGCGAATAAAGCATTTGCCACATACAAGGTACTTATTACATGTTTGCGTTATTGTTAGCTCCTGGAGGAATGAGGTAAGATGTTATCGATTACATAGGGTGACCATAGGGTGACGGTTAGTTGAGCGAGTCCATGGTTAGCACTCGGTGCGGAGTAGCTGCTGTTAACTGAGATTATTTTGTTGAAAGCTTTGAATTGGGAAGCTGAGAGATCCAGATTCCAATTTAGGCTCCGCCATTTACCAGCTGTGTGACCTTGGGCAATTGTCTTCACCTCTCTGTGCCTCAGTTTCCTTATCTATAAAATAGGGACTTAAGCAGTAGCCACTTCATAGAGTTGTTTGGAAGATGCAACGAGAATGTAAAGTGCCTAGCACAGCAGTTGGCACATCTCTTATTTCATCAGCGTTTTGCGAATAGCCGAGAGGGACCCTGGGTGTAGTATTGGTCTTCAAGCTGGCCAGACTCAAAACTGGTCCAGTTGACTTTCCTTCCTGCAGCCTCAGGTACCTCATTTATAAATATGGAAAAATAGCACACATTCCCTTAGAAGGTTCTAAGGATTTACTGAGATTGAGTTCCTAGTCTGAGCCATCCATCACTAAGCAGCAGCTCTTATGTATTATAATTGTTTTTCTTCAATATTCTCCATCTGGCCCAAAGACTGCCTAACTGTGGGCTGTGACATGACAGCCCTAAGCTCCCCCACACATTTGCTCCCAGCCTCAGTGTCCCATCTGTGAAATGGTAGTCATAGGACTTTTATGCCAGAATTGTTCTGGTGATTCCAGGAGATAATTTATGTTTAGTGTTTAGCACAGCCCCAGCATATATTAAGTGTTTAATAAATGTATCTTTTTTGTTGTTTTTCTCCTCTCTCTTTCTCTCTCCTTTTTTTTTTTTTTTTTTTTTTTTTTGGTACTGGGAATCGAACTCAGGACCTTGTGCTTGCCAGGCAGGCGCTGTGCCACTGAGCTGTATCCCCAACCCTCTCTCTCTCTTTTATAGGTCCCTCTGTTTCTGTTTGTCCCCATAGCAGTGAGGGGACAAGGTTCGCGCTTCTTACCCATCCTCCCCAAAGTTTACTTGCCAAACATTGAACTGTGGAACATAATTGAAGCGTAAGGGGCTGAGAGGAGTTGGTGCTGTCCTGCCATCAGCAGCCCACTGCACACAGCCTCCCCCTCCAAGCTTGTACATTCACTCCAGTGCTTTAATGATTATTTTATGTTATTTTTTGGTGCTGGGGATGGAATTCAGGGCCTTGTGCATGCTAACTGTGCTCTCTGCCACTGACCTGCACTCTCAGCCCTTGCACTTTAAGATTATTGTCCCAGCGTGGTCAGCTCTTGACTCTGTCTCAGAGCCATACTAACCTTGAGCTCTAGCTCCAGATAAGGAGCCTATGTTCCTTGATGTCTCTTGATGGCCATCCTTGGGCACTGTAAACACAACATGTCCAACTTTATCACCTCCTCCTCCTCCTCCTGGACTTTGTCCAGGAGGAGGCTCATCTTGGCAAATGGGTCAACATTTACCGAGTCACCCAAGCCAGAAACTTGGGAGTTGCTTTTCTCCATCCTTCGCATATCCAGTTGATTGGCAAGGATGGAAACTCCATTGCTGCAGAAGCACCATTTCATTGGCCTCTTATCTGAGGAGCACTGGATGTTCCCCTATACCCTGGAGATGGTCTTTTTGATGGGGTCAAGCCTAGAGTCACCAAGGAGTAATGCAGGTAAACATGTAACATATGTGATAATTAGGAATAGAGAATACATTATGGACTTGGCTAGATTGCAGTGGCTCAGATGTGGCAAGAGGATCTGGCTTTCAGGGGACCCATTTCTGTGGTTTTAGCTTGGCCAAGGTGAGCTGAGTTGTTCATTTCTTTCTGAAAAATTATACTCTGTCATCACCAGAAATAAGGCAGTGATTTAAACATAAAATAAAATAAAACCTTGGTTGATCTCCATTGTTAGTGACAACAGCACATGGCTTTTTTAGCAGCTTGTAGAATGGTTTCAGAGTTAAATGTGAGCCTGTTTTCAGACATTGCAGTTGTTAGGTGGTAAATCAAAAATGGAATTTAGAATGTGCAGTGATTGGTGCACATTTTGCTGATATATTTCAAACTTAGATTTAATAATTTCCAAGGTATAAATTAGATGTACTTACATTTCAATAAAAGAATCTAACAGTCATTTCTTTTAAAATAAAGCGTTTGTTTTTAGCTTTTAGGCTAAAAAGCTATGGGACCAGTTTGTGCATTTGTGTTTTCTTTAAGAATATTGTTTTTTAGGATTGTTGTAGTCATGACCTTTGTGTGTGGTGTGTGTGTGTGATTGGTTTCAATTTGGCTTTAAAAAGTTATGCAAGAAATACACACTCATTATAACATGTCAAAAAGGACAGAGATGTAGAAGAAAAAGAATAAATGCCACCCTCCACGCAGATCCTGTTTCCTCAGGGATAACCATGAATTCCAGCTGTGAGTACTGAGTACTGACTGTCAGGTCATGGAGTTTCAGAGTGAACCAAAGAGCTACCCTGTCTAGCCTTAGTGATAGGGCTGGGTGTGCTCACTCACCTCTGTCTGGCCTGGGTCAATTGCTTGCTTATATCATGTGTTTTCTTCTCTTCTCTTTCCTTTCCCTTCCCTTCCCTGAAAAAGGAGGGGTAGGGATCAAGATACACATAATTGCAATCCAATTTTTTTCAGTTAATGATTAGGCATATCCCATCAAGTTATTACGTATGGGCCTAACTCATTCGATTTAATGACTGTACCAATGTGCATTCTTCAGCATGGAGAGATTATGCCTTATTCTGCTATTTCCCTCTTGCTTGAAATTAAGGGTTCTGAGATTTCTTTTACCTTAGCAAGCACACATCCAATAAGCCTTTTGCGCCTTAAATACAAACAGTATAGCATAGTGACTAAAGGCACAGCCTCTGGGGCCTGCAGGGCCTAGATTCAAATTCTGACCCTGCCTGTGTAAATTGTAGTACACTGGATTAGCAAAAATGAGAATGATACCAGTACCTTCCTCATGAGGGAGTTACTGAGAAAGTGTTCAGTGAAACAATCTGTCAAGCTTGTGGGGCAGGGCCTGGTGCCATTGTTACAGGTGATCTTTAAAACCCAAAGTAACTCATTGGAAATGCCAGGTAGAGGTAAGAAAAAGTTATTAAGTAGGGACCTACCTTCGAGAGTTGGCGGTTTAGGGCAAGAGACCTAGCTGCCCTGGAATGAAGAGAGGCAGCTTTACTGAGAAAAGGAACATAGCAGCCAGTAAGGCGGCCTGGCAAAAGCAAGTGTTAGGGGTGAGGGACTGGAGGGGAAGCATCAGTGGAAAATACCACTTCTCATATGTGAGTACGGTATAACGATTCGAAGGTGGCTTAGGTGGAAGACTGGTCTGGGTTCAAATCTCAGTGCAGCCACTCATTAATAAATGAATTTTTGTCCTCATTGCCAAAATGGGGTTGATAGTATTTTTTTTTCTTGGTACCGGGAATCAAACTCACGATCTTGCGCTTGCCAGGGAAGCATTGTGCTGCTGAGCTGTATCCCCAGCCCTTGATAGTAGTCTATATCTCAGTAGTAGTTGGAGACTGGATGAAATGTCTGCAAACTCAGCCCACAGAGCTATCATTATCCCTGTGTCAGCTACTGCTGTCATTTTTTTCAGTTGACAAATTTATTGAGTGCGTACCTTGTGTCAGGTCCTGTTCTAGGCACTGCAGATTGAGCAGTGAACAGGACAGATGAGATCCTTGCTCTTACAGTGTTTGCTTTCTGGCTGCGGAGTCACCCAGTAAACAAGATAATTTCAGATTTTTTTAATTAAAAGAAAAAAGCCAGATCCTGCCACATGCAGATGTTTTTAAGTATTATGGAGAAAATAACAGGGTAAGAGGATAGAAAGCGGCTGCTGGGAGGGATGGTGGTGGGGAAGGGGTGATTACTCGGATGGTCAGGGAAGGCCAAAGTTACGTGAGCTGAGATGGAATGAGCAGGCGGCACCAGCTGCGCCAGGAGTTTGGGGAAGAACATTCAAAGGAGAGGGAACAGAAAGTGTGAAGGTCTGAGGCGGGAATGCATTTGCTATGAAAACAGTTATCGTGCCTGAGGAAGAGTGAATTTCTTTCAAGTTCACACTACTTCAATTTTTATAAAATAGTAATAGCAGCAGCTATTTACGTAGTGCTTACTCTGTGCTAGACGCTCTTCTGATTCACACGTCCT